TTTTTATTCTTACCTAACCATTCATGTGGTCCCGATAAGGTACACAGAGAGGACTCCCGATATAGTCTTTTTTTTAAATATATGTTTAAGGAAAACCTAATAAATATCTATAATAATAAATATATATTTTATATAGTATGATAAGCAAAATAAACTTTTTTTTGTTTAAAAAAAAAAATGACGCCAAGAAAGAAATGATTGTCTTTAGAGTTAGGTATACATAACGATCATGCTGATTTTTCATTAATTATTAATTTGAATCAGTTAATCAAATATATCAAATATATTATTATTATTGTTACATTTTGATATAATTATTTACTGTTTATTTTTTAATAACGAGATACCGTATCTCAAGCTTTCGTATTCTGAAACTAGCAAATTTCAATATTTACTAATTTTGTTAATTAATTCTGTTATAATTAATGCTGTTAATATTAACTGTTAAAAGTTAATCCTGTTAACAGTTAATTAATTAATGCTGTTAATTAACGCTACTTACGTACTTACGTACGTACGTATTTATAGCAAAAAAAATTCAAAGGAGATGTTTATCTATTCCATGTGATATATCCAGAAATCGTATAATGATAACACATTGGACTACATTTGCCCTACAAATTTCTGCCTATATTGGCAGGTCCTTGATGTGTTGTCAAACAAGATGTGTTGTTACGTAAGCCCGCTTGTAACCGTCTTTTTTTAATAGCATTAGTTGAAGCCACTTACATTTACCACAAATATTTTACATATTTTGAATAGTTAAATTACCGTGTAACATTCAATAAAACTTCTTGTTTACCTACTTTTCTTCACAATTTACAAGTTTTTTCCTCTCTTTTTACGCACTGTCCATCTCGAAAATAAAGAACTCAATTCTGTATGTTGGACGGTTTGTAAAGGTTATAAAGGTTCGAAAGAACATAAAAAAATATTTTATATTTTTCCCTTCTTTCTTTATTTCTTTCTTGTTTAATGTCTGCGTCGAGATCTTTTGAATTATTTATTTCTTATATTAACCTTAATCTATTATCTCCTTTCGTCTGTCAATCTTACTCACTTCCCTAAAATACAAGATTTTTTCTTCTCATAATGTTTAAGATCTCTCAAAAGTCAAAAAAAAAAGATACTTCAAAGAATACTGACCCTCGAGTTCCCTCCGGAAATAGCGAGCCTATAAATAATAATAATAATCAATTAACCGTTGCCATAAACAATAAAACTGGTGCTGCTCTTAATTTCATTTTTAAAAGAGCCCCAAATCTTATTCCACAAGTTATCGGCGTCGCAAAAACAATAACTCCAAATCTACAAAAGAAATCGGATAAATCTAAACGTAATGTTGATAATTCTATTATAAATAATCTTTCTTCTCCGGCTTCAAATGATTCTTCTCTCTTGAACTCTCCTGCCTCTTTCTCCCCTTCTCAAAAACGTGGTTCAAAATCTTTAAATGGTGATTTCGGTAATCGTCCTGATCATCAACGCCGTCCTTCTGAACCAACTGCTGTACTAGGTTTAAATAAACAATCTTTACATTCGGATTTCTCTTCAAATAACAAGGATATTAGTATTTATGGTGCTGTACCTTCTTCAAGAAAAAAAGATACCGGTCTTTATGGTGCTGTACCTGCCATCAATGTTCATCATGTCGACATTAATAACGGTTTACGAATTAATCGTTCTGCTTCCATATCAAACGTTCCTATCATTAAAGAAGGTTATTTAAACAAAAAAATTGATTTTGACGTAAAATCTATTTCTTCTTCACGCGGCTGGAAAGCATACCGTGTGATATTAAGAGGTTCAAAATTGTATTTCTATAGGCCTCCTTCTGAGGCTGTTTTAAAGACTTTTTTTCCAAACAATAAAGATATGGGAAAGGATATGATTTCAACTCTTTCACCTATCAACGAGCGTGGTATGCCTCTTACTCCTTTAAATTTTGATACTAGTGCTAGTAAATTAATTTTCGAAGGTAATGATAAGTTTAGTCCACCTTTGATCACAAAGTATTACTATGGTGAAATTTGCTATGAAGTAGATCGAACTGTTGCTATGCGATTCAAGAAGCATGTATGCTTACTTATATTTGAGGACAATGTTGTCATATGCAAACGCAAATGGGTAAGATATACTAGTGCAAATTTAAGACCCATAATTGATGCTATGGGGTTTGGTGGAAATCATTCTTCTACGAATGTTACTTCTCCTAATATCAATTCTGACTCTGGAGGTCAAGATTGGGATACGAGATCGATTAGTAGTACACGCGGTATAACTGAAAATGATGGTTCTTCAATAAATAAGGGTAAAGGCTATTATACAAAATGGAAGCTTGATGCATGCTATTCAATTCATAGTGTAGATGTTGTTCCTGATCCAAATTTACCCACTGGTCATTCTCCATATATAACTCCTTCTTCTCAACCACCATTTACTGCAAACAGAAATGATGATACATCTTCTCTTCGATCTGTCTCTTCTTCTGTATCAATTATTGCTAATGTTTCTTCTACTTCTGGTGTTATCCTTTATTTAAATATTGTTGATAATGGGGAAAAGGATAGTTATAGAGTTTTTGTTGCTTCTAATAATGATGTTAGATCATTATGGATTGCAAAGTTATGGGATGCAAAAAAAGCAAATTTAAGAAAATTGATGAAATTATCTGATAAACAATCCAAAGGACTAAATGATTTTGATAATAATGGATTAACAACTGCACATTATAATATACGTGGTATTAATAGTCCTCAAGATTCTACAGGATTTGGAGATGAAAAATCTGAGAGTACAACAGTTACACCAAGGAGGAGAGCTTATTGGGGTACGGAAAGACATCCAGAGTTAATAATCAAGGAAGCAAATTCAGTGAAGAAGTCCCTTGATGATAATTCTTTATCATCGCCATCATCACCCGAAATCGAATCATCATCACAGTCCGAAGTTAAATCATTATCATCATCTGAAAAGAATGAATCAACATCTCAAACTCTTATTCGTGGAGGTTCTATTTGTTCTTTAATTCATGAACTTGTATTTGAAACACAGAAAGGTACAGAAGAAAATGATGAATTTCTTCATGCATTTCTTTTAACATACCCACTTTTTGCTGAAACATCCCACATTTTCCGTGAATTGAAACGTTGCGCAAGCATGCAGAGTGCGTTCGAAAATGATGAACAAAACAAAACAAATAAAATAAGTGAAAGAATAATGATAATACTTACAATATGGTGTCAGAATTACGGTCGAGATTTGGCACGTGATGATATACGGAATGCCATGTTAGAGTTAGTGGATGAAGCATTTGCAAATAATCCTTCTGATGCGGAAGAGATAAAGAAATTAATACAAGATTCACGTGCTAATGTATTAAACATTGATAATAATGAAGAAGAAATGACAGTGAAAGAAACTTTAAGTCATCCAGTTCCTGCACCTCTTTCATTAGATCTCTCTAATTTGCTTGTTACTGGTTTAACTCCTGCATTATTCTTGAAAATGGTCCCAGATGAATTGGCGCAACAAATTTATTTATATCATTTTTTGGAACTTTATAAAACAAAACCTATGAATGATTTGAGAATTTTTAGTCCAACAAAAAATCGACAGGAGTCACTACCGAAAGAAAGTCCATTAAATTCTACTCCAACAACACCTCATTTCATTACAAGACTAATATATCACCATATATTAATTGCAACACAACAAGCTGGTTATATTAGTCGTCGTCCTTTGATATTAACGCATTGGATTCAAACTGGTATTGCGTGTAAAATGTTAGGTGATATGTCTGGTTGGATGGCTGTTGCGTCAGCTATATGTTCACCAGGGATAGTACGTTTGAAGGAAACATGGAGACGTGTAAATGAACGTTGGAAAGATGTTGTTGTAAATGAATGGATTCCACTTCTATTAACTTATGGAGGTATTGATGGGGAAGCTGATATTGAGAATGTAAATTCTTTACTCTTGGTTATACAGGATAAAAAGGAAAAGAGTAAAACTAAACCAATTCCTTATTTTGGTTTTATTACTATCGCTTTGGACCGGCTTAATTCAACAATACCGTCGGTGATTGATCGATCCACAAATGATCAAAACCGTACTGGGTCCAGAAATAATAGTATTTCAGGGTCAAGTATCATTAATTTTGAAAAATATCGAAAAATGTATGATACAATCATTTACTCACTGAATCAATGGGAACAAGCTGAAAGCTATATAAAATTTGATGAAAATTCATGTCCTTTTACTCCTTCATCTCCTCTTCAAAAATATTTCCATCAACTCAATTCCGTTCCAACATCTTCCACACTAGATGTTTGGCAATTATTTGATTCATCTTTAATATGTGAACCTCGTTTACATGGTCAATATTTAGAACATCATGCCCGCCAACATAAATCACATTCTGCTTACGTACCACTGGTTTTTACCGAAGTTATTCCTTCTAGTCGATTGTTTGAAAAAAATGCAGTATTAAGTGCGAGCGGAACATTAGGTAAAAAAACATCGAATTCTTCTTTAAATATAGGAAGTGATAATAATTCATTGGTTTCAATGGCATCGCCAACGCGACAAAGTTTCTCAAGTTCATATGTTAATTCAGATACATATCCGACTTCGCCCATCAATAAAACCCAATCTACAAATAATTCACCAGCTCACCAAACTTACGGAGGTGTAAGGCAAAGGACTATATCATTCCCTCCATCAAAAATAGGACCAATAACTTCTACCACATGGAACACTGGGTTGGATCTATTTACAAGGAATTGGTTAGGTGGTTTGGCACAGCATCGTGGAAGTTATACTGTGTTATTGAAATGTATGAAAGATATTGCCGGTGTTGGTGAAATGCTTATGTTTGTTAAAGATGGTGAACTTGTATTTAAATCTGTTAGAGATGCTACTGGTTCACGACCTGCAAGTCTTGTCGAATCTGGTACAACTTCTAAGAGAAATTCGGTTCACGGTATTACACATCCTCAGCAAAACTCACCACGTACAAGTTTATGTACTAACAGTGAGCATGACTCTCTTATGGTTGTTGTTAAGGCAGGAACCTTGGAAAGGTTAGTGGATGTTTTGATCAACGGAGTTGCTTCTTTCAGCACTAGTGTAGTTGATGATAATGGTGAACCGCCTTTGACCATAGGAAAACAAGGTCAACTTGGTATTAATTCGGCGGAATATTTGGCAACATTCTTTAGTACATACCGTAGTTTTTGTAGTCCACATGTACTTTTTGAGATTTTAAGAAAACATTTTGCTAACGCAAAAAAAAATTCAAAGAAATCCGTAGAATCTACTACATCTGTGACTTTTGATAATGAAAACGAAACGAAACAAGATGTTGCATCTTATGATTGGAATCAAGTGATAACATTTCAATCGAAGGTCCTCAAAGTATTTCATTATTGGGTTGAGGAATTTTTTTACGATTTTTTGGATGATTTAACATTGAGAAACCGTTTCACACATTTTCTCAATGATGCAAAATTGGAAATAGAAGAATTGATCGGCAGCTTGGACGATGAACAATTATTATCTCATGCTGAAGAAATCAAAGAATCGATAATTAATTTAAAAAGACAGGTTATGGTCAAGAGCCTTGAACCCGCTAATGATGCACAAAATGAGAAAATGTCATCCTTAATAGATAAAGTTATTAATGATCCATCATCATTACCATCATCAAAAAGCAATAATATTACTAAAGACGTTGAAACACCTTCCCCTTCCTCAGACGTGCAAGATGTATCTGATCTTCTTGATAGTATTGATCTCACAGTCATCGGTTTGTTCGAGGCTGTAACACCACAAGATTGGGTTCTTGCCTTTGAAATTCTTGAGACACAATCAATAAATGTTCTTGGCTGGTATCCTAAAAAACAATCATCCACTTCTGATGAGGAAATACATATCACAGACATTTTTACTGTTTTACAACAAACGGAACGAACAGGAAACTCGAAAAGAAGTGTTCTCAGTTCACTTCCTCGTTCAATCCAAGCTCTTTGCCGGGTTCACAATGCTATTCGTAAATGGGCAATTCAAGAAATCGTTTCAACGACAATCGATCTTGAACGACGAGTGAATAGAATCAATATATTTCTTGATATGATTTTGTTAAGCAGAAAGAGAATGGCAAAATTAGATATTTATCCCAAGGATGAAATTGCTAAACCTGAGTCCGAGGCAAAAAGAGGTGTTCCGTCCTTTGTAGAAAGTGCGATAGTAAGCGCGCTGATTAGTCCTGAAAGTAGATTATTTGCAAAAGCTTGGAATGAAATTTCCATAACTCGAGATGGTGGTTTAGACTCACTCGAATCATTATTACAAAATGGGTCAACAAAGAGACATTTAACTATTCATGTACAACATAACTTAGCTCTTGTACCATGTATCGGATGGTTATTTGAACGTATGTTAGAAATATGTTGCAATGTACCAGATATATCTTTTGACACGGAAAAACTGATAAATTATGATAAACGTCGATATGTATATAACTTGACACAAATTTTTGTTCGTCTACAACGCGAGTTATCAGAACGGGCTCAAGATCGCAAGCCTGTAATAGATTTTGGTGACTTAATAAGCAGTATTCAAAAATCCAACGCTAAGACTCACTTTCGCTTTCTTAAAGAGGTTGCGTCTCGAGAAAATAATATGATTCGTGCCTCTAATGCTCCACCAAAACTACCAAAACTGCAAAGACCTTTTTATAAGCTTATTGCGGAACAACAGGAGAAGGTCAAACGAGATCAAAAAGAAAAAGAACGTCTTGCAAAAGATATTCGCGAGACGCAGAATAAACTACAAAAGAAGCAAAATGAACAAGCAAAACTACTCGAAAAACAAACTCGAATACAACAAAGGCCACGTAACAAATCCAGGGTGGAATCCTTTATCAAACATGCTGTACGTCCATTTTCGATGGTTTTAGCAAATACATGGCAATCTTCTGGCAATACAAGTTCATCTTTGAAAGCTCAAAATAATCCTAAACCTACGCTTGTTATAAATCTTATTAACTCTGTGACATCTGTTGATTATGATGCTATGTTTGATTTTGTTTTCCGTGTTGAAAGTGAGGAAGGAGGGCAATATTTGTTCCAAGCTCTTGACTATGATAATATGAATGAATGGATACGAGTTATAAACGATGCAGCCAAAGAGGGGGCAGAAAAACGGCGAACAATCTTTCAATCTGAACAAGCCATAGAACCCAAAGAAGAAGTAGTTCCAGAAGAAACTAAGACGCGAAGCTCTGGTTAGTTAACATAATTGATTGTCCACTGTTTATACAAATATATTCACGATTTTTTTATTTCAAATTAAACATTATAGTATACGGTAAAGAACTTTTTACTTTAATGGCGGACGGAAAAGTCCCACTTCTGGTTGAAAAAAGTATAGCAGAAATAGAAAAGAGAGGTTTGTATATATATATATATATATTATTCTTTATAAAATATAGTGATCTTAATATCATGTATATTTAGGTCTTGAAGAAGTTGGTATATATCGTGTTCCTGGAATAGCTGGTTCTGTAAATAAACTCAGAGCTGCATTTAATACAAGTAAGAAAAAATTTTACTCATCATTAATTTGTTACGTAAGTTTAATTAATAATCTTATACATTTCAATTTGTAAGATGCCGAAGCCGTAAACCTGAATGAAGAAGAATATAGAGATATAAATGTTATTGCCGGTGCTCTTAAACTCTTTTTCCGTTCTCTTCCTGAACCTTTAACAACATTTGAATTATATGACGATTTTATACAAGCTGCTAGTACGATAATTTGTTTTAACAATACAGTAGATACTTTCTAATTACATACACTCTCTAATTGCATAAAAATTTTTGGTTTTTAATTATTAATATTTTAAATACATATACCGTCTATATGATAAAAAAGTCTGACGGATGGCATGCAATTAGACAGTATCAACTGTATATTCTGTATATTTAATTTCTTAATATATTCGTTAACATAATTTTAATTGCATACTGTTGTGTAGAGATACAAAGCCGAGATGAAAAATTTTATGCAATTAAGGAACTTTTGTACAGATTACCAAAACCAAACTATATATTATTAAAAAGACTAATTGAGCATTTGGAAAGGTACTTTATAATTTCTTTTTTCTTTTTTCTTTTTAGTAGCTTAGCATGACATTTATCTAAATATGCAAATTTAGAGTTACTGATTATGAAGAATTCAACCATATGTACGCAGACAATCTGGCGATTGTTTTTGGACCCACTCTATTGAAATCACGTGATTTCGCAGCTTCGATGGGTAATTTGGGTTATCATACAAGCATTATAAAATGCTTAATACTTCAATATCATTGGTTCTTTGATATTGAAGAAGAAACTTCTGATATTGAATACCAGGAAGAACTTTTAGACCCCGATATTGAAGTCAGCGAACCAGAGGGGGAGGGGATTCAAACAACCCACCTTTTACCAGATGATACTTCCTCATTCGACAATCAATCTGCAAATTCGGAAACTCATCATGAAGAAATTGGTAATAATTTTGGGGAGGAAGGAAATCTGTTATGGGAGGAATCCGATGGTCAAATAGTTCAGCAACACTTGGATGTGGGTTATAAGGAAGATATTTCTTTTGTAGAGCATCAAGAACAAACCTCATTAACGCAACCCCATGAAGGACACTCATTAATAAGCAATGACATTGTAAAAGAGAAAAATATGGAAGAGGTTCAGCAACACTTGGATGTGGATTATAAGGAAAATATTTCTTTTGTAGAGCACCAAGAACAAACCTCATTAACGCAACCCCATGAAGGACACTCATTAATAAGCAATGACATTGTAAAAGAGAAAAATATGGAAGAGGTTCAGCAACACTTGGATGTGGGTGATAAGGAAGATATTTCTTTTGTAAAGCATCAAGAACAAACCTCATTAACGCAACCCCATGAAGGACACTTATTAATAAGCAATGACATCGTAAAAGATAAAAATATGGAAGAGGTTCAGCAACACTTGGATGTGGGTTACAAGGAAGATATTCCTTTTGTAGAGCCTCAAGAACAAACCTTATTAACGCAACCACATGAAGGACACTTATTAATAAGTAATGACATTGTAAAAGAGAAAAATATGGAAGAGGTTCAGCAACATTTGGATGTGGGTTATAAGGAAGATATTCCTTTTGTAGAGCCTCAAGAACAATTATTAACGCAACCCCATGAAGGGCACTTATTAATAAGTAATGACATTGTAAAAGAGAAAAATATGGAAGAGGTTCAGCAACACTTGGATGTGGGTTATAAGGAAGATATTTCTTTTGTAGAGCATCAAGAACAAACCTTATTAACGCAA